AAAGAATCAGACTTTAAAACCTGACACACGACACTACAGCAGTTTCCAAAATCAAAAAGCTCTACAAAAATGATTGAAGGTTAAATCCTTTCTTGAACCCACCTGTATTGGGATGTTTTCAAAAGTGTTTGTCTATAACACAGAGGCAACATGTAGTTTTACTCTCATCTTTTCTATTTTTTTTTCTGTTAAATCTACCAGGCCAGAGAGGAGAATGTCCTGGATCTTGTTCTCTTTCCCACACCAGCAAGAGCTATTCCTGACAGCTGCTGCACAAGCTAGCTAAGGATTTGGCTTGGAAGACAGTTGTCATTTGCTTCAATAGGCAGCGGTGGGAATGTCCCCTCTTCCTTTACGTTGTTCAAGCCATAGAAGAGAAGTTGATTCTAATAAATGGAATAAATAAATTCAGTCCAGTGCAGCGTATCAAGGAAAGCCAACAGCCTCTCCTGGTTTAACATTGCATCTGAGTACACCTGGAATGACCCCTGAGCCAAAGGCATTGGGCACAATGTGCAGAGGGGCTGAGCTGCCCAGCTGGGCTCGGAAGTTTCAAGAGTAGTTTGTCCATGTGGATTCTTGTTTTGATTTCAGCTTTCCTTATTCCCATGGGTAACATCAGGTGATGATACTGAAGCATTTTCCAGTGCAAAAGAAAGCAAAGAACTGACACCTTTGGGTAAGACCAGGATGAAAACTTGCTTGAAGCCAGTTTTGCTGTAACATCCTTTGCAGGCCACCACGTTTCCACAGCCCCTGCCCTGCTCCGTCCTCCTCCATCCTCCCCCATGCAGGGGCCAGGGCAGCTTCTGCAGGGCTGTAGTGCAGATCCCACAGGTCTGCACAGAAGTGAGTTTCCCCTTTGCTGTGTCGCTTTGTCAAGATGCAGTCAAACAGTTTGCATTGTTTTCACTTGGGAAGTCTCATTTAATAGTGGCAGGGCTGCTCCCTTAGGGGAAAAGCACATGGGGTTTGATTTCTGCCCTATGATGCCAATGCAGTGCTGTCCTCCAGATCCCATGAAATGTAGGCACACCCCAAGGCAGTTATTTGAGACAGTTACTGTCACAAACAGCAAAGTTACTGTTCACCATCTGTTCACAAGGTTGCAAAAAGGGCCACTGAGGCACCTGATGAAAAGCCTTTGCCGCAGCACTTGCTCCTTCTGTGATCATCAGAGCCCAAATCTGATTTTCAGATTCTATCAAAGGCTCCACTGGTTGTTCAGATTGTTAGGCTTGAACCACATTTCACCTGAAGAGAGGTGGGCAGGAGGCTTTTGGCCTATCGTGCTTTAAAGCCGTGGTTTGGACTGTGGACGTCTCCAGGAACAGAACTGCTGACCACCGTAACAAATGTATTTGTTGTTAAGTGTGTCCATAATTGCAGTGTTGCATCATCTCCATGGTTATTTTAAAAATTCTCTTTGTGACTTTACATTATTAATAAGGTGTCTATGGAATTGTCTAGAAAAAACATCCTTGTGTGGATCTTGATCGTGACTTTCTCATTTCCAAGTCCTCAGCTGGAGCAAACTGGTGTCACTTTTACTCTGTTATTTCTCTCCGTGTTATTGGCACTACTGTCACCAGCTGTCATGATATGATATCCACAGAATGGCAGTAGGGAAGAATCTCTCTTTTGAAGGACAAACTAGACAAAATGAAGCACGGCTCTGACGAGCTGGAAACTCAAGCCTGTGATCACAAATAGGCCTTATGATGCATGGATGAGTTTAAATGGTTGCTTACTGTAACTCTACAAATACACTACCACTGGTAGATTGATTATATGTAATTTTAAAAAACACATGCGCTACAGATTAGAACAGGAAAATGTTTGATGCTCTCTTTCTGCTGATTTCCAAGTGTGTCAGCTGGGTTGCCGTTTTAAAAACAGGGAAAGAGGAACACAGAGCAGAGTGCCATGATCAGCCACACAACAGTAGGGCCATGAGGAGAACTCACACCTCCTGAATCACCCTGAGTGGCAACAAGAGAATTGAAATAATTTGGGTGCATTTATATAACATTCATAAAACAGGTTACCCAGTAAGGCTAAAGAAACCTGGTTTTGAAGAGATTTGGGCTTGCTGTGTCATCAAAATTGTGGCTGGGAAATAGTTCACAGAATCTGTGGTATCCAAGGGAACTTATTTGTATGGACTGACACACACAAATCCCATTAGCATAAGAGTTACTTAGGCACATCCTCCTAAATTGATCTCAGGCTCTGCTCGCTGCACGTGCCCGGCTGAGCCACATTTCTGTCATTCTGAAGTCATCTCCTAATCATAGAGAGAGTCCATCAGTGCCACTCCAGAGGCAGGGAGGGAGGAATGAGCTCATGTGTGGCTCACTGACTTTATTGCAAGTGGCAAGACAAAGGTGCCCCACGTACTTCCCAGGTAACAACTCTGAGGATGCAACTGCCTGAAAAATACAACCAGTTGTTGAGTGCTAGAAAAGGTGCTAATGTTTAGTTGCTGTTGGAATAGTGTTTTGCAATACCCTCTAATTAAAAAGCAACAAGGGCACAGCATCTTTGCCTTATGGTTTCCTGGACTGTTCTTGTGCAGAGTCACCTTGAAACAGCTCCTAGAGGGTATATGGTCCTTCATGTCACACACCTCTTTACTATTTAGGGTGAGGCACTCAGACCTGAACTCCTCCTATTTGTGGCCATCAAATTTGACTTATGGCTTTATGGCACACAGGTTTTACCCTTTTTAACCAGGGTGAGATATTATTTCTCTGGAATATACTCTGTAACCTAGAGCACACCCTGACAGAGATCCAAGGGAAAGAAAGACCTGTAAGGAACATGCTTTTTCCTTATAGCCATAGAAAGATGAGCTATGTCAGACATTCAAGGTTTCTATACCTGCTGATAGGGAAGAAGCAGAAGAACAAGGAGACAACCTGAGCAGGAGTGGTTACACTATAATATTTCATGGTGTTTGAGAGCCTGAGTACTTTTACTCTTGAGACCCCAGGAATGTCTGTGCACAAATAAAATTCACCGCTGGATTTTAAACCTCTGTGATTTTTATAAAAGCTTACTTTAAAATTTAAATATATAACCTGTTTAAATTTGAATGGTTTGGGTATTCTTTAAATGAGTTTTATAATTTGGATGCCATTCAACTCTTGACTGTGTTCCGAAACCAACGAGGAATTTGCCCTATCCATCTTAGCTCATAATGGATAGATAGAACATATTAAGAGTTATCACCTCAAAAACAGATCAAAGTCTACTTCCTTTAATATTGACTTTCTTTAAAAGGACCTAAATATAACCCACTAGCTAAATAATTCAATTTTCGGACGGAGGAAAGGAACTAAGAGCATGTTTATACAACAGACCACAATAACTCCGCAGTTTTCTGATTTGTTGGAGAAGAAAAAAAATCCTTCTCACATTTTCTGTTTAAGGAAATGTTACTCTCAGACTAAATGAGCCCAAACCTGTCAGCCATCCAAATGGACTCTTCACTGACATGCCACTAAGTGGCAAACACTTGCATACATCACTGACAGGAAGAGCTCAGCTCAAGGAACAGAAACAATGAGCTAATCTCAATAAATGGTCCTTTTTCAGATGTTTCACAATGTTGTGCAGGGGGCTTTTTACCTTCTCTACTTGAATCACTCTTATTATCAAAGATGTTGAAAGGTGAGGCTTTCAAACCCAGCCACGTTGTTCCCTTTCTGTTCTTTCCCTAAATATCACCAAGTTCTGGAATATATACATATCAGTGTGCATTGATGTGATAAAATGCACATTCAGTGTTCTCAGGAGTTCCAGAGCAGAGTGGCAAGGCTGTACCTCTGCATTTCATGGGAATGCAAGAAATTAGGTACTAGGGACATATCCTGCCATATGATCAAACAGTGCCTGGGGCCAGTCCAGAGGGTTTCCCCACAGCTGCTCAGGGCTCTTCTTGCTTCTGTTCTCAGTCCCTTCTTCCACTCTCATCAAATAGCCATGTTTTCTATCACTCTGAGCATTGTTAAATGGGGTTTCTGGTTTTATACAACTGCGTTGTAGATGGGGAAGAGACCAGGAGGCCTCAAAACTGGAAACCATAGAGCCCAACTTCAACTTCTGGATGCAGAATGTGGTGCTGTGAGTGATTAGCTTTCAGTGGTGGCTCTAAAAATGACTAACCTGTATTTGGGAAACATTTCCTCAGTCTTTGTATTTTAAGTGCTGTGGAATCAAAAAAACCCCAAGTAAACTCCACCACTATGTGTTTTACAGAATGGGGGTATGAGAGTTTTAACCTCACCTGTGTATTGTGTTTTTCATTATTAATCCTGGTTCAGTTAAGAATTTTGATATATTTTGTGCTGCTGCAGTACAGGAAAACGCAGAAACTGGAAATGGGATCTTCTGCCTGTTGATTGGAAGTGTTTGCAAAAGCCCTGACATCTCAAACCAGAACACACCTGCTCTTTCTGCTGGGAAAGAGGGCACTGGATACAGCTGCTACGGGATAACTCTTCTGTGTGGTGGGAATCCCTCACAATGACACTGGTTGTTGCACCTTAGTCCCACCGGCTACAAGCATCAGGTCAGTGTTGCTGTGGAGGTGCCTGCACCCCAGAAGTGTAATTCCAGCTCTGCTCAGCATTCTGAGCACTGTCTTCAACCAGAATCTTTTATCCATCCCTAAGTACATGAATAAGGCAGCTGTCCCGTGCCCACAAATGCAAAACCTTTTGGAAAGGATTTGTGAGAGCAGGACAGTGCAATCCCCTGGTGGAAGTGAAGCACAGGCAGGTGCCCTGCCGGGAGGCAGCAGGGATGTCAATCACATTGGGAACGACAGCCAGAGCTCAGGTGCCGGTCCTGCCCTGGCACAAGCGGTGTGATCCAGCTGATCTTTCCCAAACCAACAGCCGTGCCCCGTGACACCCCCGTCTCACACCCCCGGGGCCCACTTTTGGTGTCCTGCGGGTGGCAGCCCGTCAATGACAAGCAGAGAGCCAACGTACCCACTTTGAGCTCCTTCCCGAAGACGGTCCTCTCTCCCAGGGCAGAGCAGTTCCAGCGCCCGTTGCGGAACTGGAACTGGCACTCGTTGATGCCCATTTGGGACCCCTCCCCGATGACGATGATCGCGTCGGGCCTGCTCTGGCAGATCGCCCGCTGCCGGGGGGCGAGCCCCGGGATCTTGTTACAGATGATGCTCGCTCCCAGAGCCACCACCGAGGAAAAACCCCTGCAACGACAGGACACCAGAGCTGGCTGAGGGGAGGCTCGTACCGGCGGCAGACGCAGCACCTCGCTGCTTTCCCGAGCTGCAGGGCCCGGCTTTGGCAGGTGCCCCCGGAAAACACCCGCCTTTCCCCCTGTCGCTTCCCTCTCCCTCTCTCCAAGCCAAGGCAAAGATAAGGAGAGCGCGGGCTCCTGCCAAAACGGGACCAAACTTCCTCGTTGGTGAATTAAAGGGCATGCAGCGGCGTTGCGTGCCCGGGCCACGCACAGAAAACGGGCTGGGAGGGTTTTCCCAAACCCGTCGAACAGTTAGCGGAGGGAGGGGGGGAAGGCGGACAACCCTGCCCGCGGGCCGCTCCACCTTCTCCCGCACCGAGCGCACCTGGACGGGGCGGGGATGCTGCGGGAGCGAAGCGCCGCCACCCTCCCTGTGCCCCGCTCGGTGCGGGAGGAGGCGGCAACGCCGGCGGAGCCGCCCAGGGATGTACCCCGGCAGGGGCAGGTACCCGGCAGGTACGGGGCAGGTACCCGGCAGGGACATCCCGCCCCGGGGACAGCCGGCCGGGGCGGGGAAAGGTCGGCTGCCCGGGCATCCCCCCGGGTGTCCCCACGGCAGGGACCGCCGCCCGGCCCCTCGCAGTCCCGCACATCGCCGGGGCCGCCACCTCGCCCCGAGATGCGCGGGCTTTACCTGTCTTTTGAGAAATAATCGTGATCACCACCATCGTCACTTTTTTTTTTCTTCTTTTTTTTTTTTTTTGAGACTTCCCGAGTTAAATAGTAACAGGTCTGGACAGGTTGGGCTGAGCGCGAGTGAGAGCGCGATTGTTATAAAAGAAAGAGGGAAGAGAAAAAAAAAAGTTACTCACCCAATCTTAATATACACAATCCCCAGGCTCAGGAAGATGTGGAAGATCCAGCGCCTTGTTTTCCTGTTCATATTCCTTGCTTGCCGTGGCTCAGACCAACACGCGAAACGATGCCCGGCGCGCTCGGGGCCGTTCCGTGCCGTGCCGTGCCGGTCCGTCGCTGGCGGTGCCGCGGTCACGGCCGCCCGGCCGAGCGGGGCAGCCCCCGCCGCGCCCCGCACCGCCCGCCGCTCCGCGCCGAGCCCCCGCCGCCTCTCACCATGGCCCCGCCGGGGCTCCCCCGCTCCCAGCCCCGCGCCGGCTGCGCTGCTGGCACAGGAGCGCGGTGTGCGGGATGGGCTGCGGGGTCCTGCGAGCGCCAGCCGCGTCCCCACCTTCAATGGGAATTGTCTCACTCTCTTCTCTCTTCTCCCCCCCCCCTTTTTTTTCTCCCCCCCTCTCTTTCTCTCTTTTTCAGCTACTTGGGCGTGTTCTCCTCAGAAGGGAGTTGTCCAGCCGGGGTGGGGGGGGGGGGGGGGGAAGAAAGGCGGGGAGGTGGGAAGAAGGGGAACCAGGAATTGCAGACGGATCACCTGCCTGCAGGGAGGCTCAGGGCGATCCTCCTCCTGCGGGCACGGCCCGGGGGAACGCGGCGGGGGCTCCGGGGGGTGTCACCGGGGGGCGCCCCCGGGGCTGGCCCCGGCCCGCCGGGCGGCATTGGGGCCGCCGCGCCCGGCTCGGCCCGCACCCCGCACCCCGCGCCTCTCCGCGCCCGCACCGCGGCCAAAGCTTTGACTCCGCGCTCGCCGCCCGCTCGCCGGGGCCGCCGAGCACCTGGGGCCGGTTTTATGCGTGTGTCCCGACGCTCCTCCCCTCGCTCTGCCTCCCCGCAGCCTCCCCGGCCCCGCGCCGGGTGAGCCCCGGGCGGCCGAGCATCCCCGCAGCGCCGCCCCGTCCCGCACCGCGGGGAGAGGCGGCACCGGCAGGTGCGGGGGGCGACCGCCCCCGGCCTCCAGCGGGCAAGAGCGAGCCCCGTGTGCCCGCAGTGCCTTCCCCGCTGGTTTTGTGACTGATCCTTCCAGTGACAGAGGCAGGGCTCGGTCCCGCCGGGCCCCCGTGGCCGTGGGTTCACGTCGGGTGTCCGCGGCCCGAGCCCACGGGGGGGGCAGAGCGGGGGGTGCGGGCGCTCCGCGGGGAGGGGGACCGGCCCGGCAGAGAGGAGGATCCCGTCTCCTCGTTGCGGGAATTTACACGGATATGGTGACTATTTTATTATCCACTTCAAATATTTCTAACAGGGAGGTTACCTAAATGATAACAGGGGTGTGGTGCGAGAATTGTTCTGCTGATAATGTTATTCTGAAAACAAAAACACGATGACAGGATCCCTCAGGGTCCCTCCGAGGAGCCGGTCTGGAGCCCCTCCGAGGAGCTGGAGCCCCCCTTGCAGGGCAGCGGGTGCGCCCGCAGGGACCCGCCGCTCCCCCCACGGCCCCGGAGCGGGGGACGACCGGGGGTGCAGCCGGTCCTGGGGGGGTGGGGGCGGCCAGGTCCGTCCCTGCCGAGTGCCCAGGGCCCGGAGAGGGGGTCCCACCCCATCTCTCCATCGCTCCCTTCCCCGGTGCGGGCGGAGGATTCACATCCCCTGGGCGCCTCGCAGCCTCCCCGCGCATCCTTCCCACGGGCGGCCGGAGCCAGAGGCCGGCCCGGGCCCGGCTCCGTGCGGGGAACGGGGCGGAGTGCGGGGGATGCGGGAGGTGCAGTGTGCGGGAGTGCGGGGGGTGCGGGTGTGCGGGGGGCAGTGGAGGGGGCAGGGTACAGGAGTGCGGGGTGCGGGAGTACGAGGGGTGCGGGGTCCGGGGATGGGAAGTGCGGGGTGCAGGAAGTGCGGGGGGTGAGGGAGTGCGGGGTCCAGTGGCGGGAGGGGCGCAGGGTGCGGGGAGGGCTGGGTGCGGGACTGAGGGGTGCGGGACTACGAGGGGTGCGGAGTACAGGGTGTGTGGGGGTCCAAGGGGTGCGGGGGGCTCGGGGTGCGGGGTGTTCAGGGGGTGCGGGGGATGCGCGGACGCCCCGAGCCCCGCGGGCAGCGCCCGCCGCAACCTCTTTATCAGAGCGACACTCGGCGGGGACGGCGGGAACTGCAGCCGAGGGAGCGG